TCTGGGGTCTCTGTGGGTCCGGCTCCTGACTCCTCATGAGGCCCCTATGGGTCGGGGTTTGGGGTCCCTATGGGGTGGGGTCCCTATGGGTCGGGGCTTGGGGTCCATGCCGTGTTCCCGTGGGTCAGGATGGGCGCTCAGTATTTGGGGTCCTCATGGGTCACCATTGGGTGCCCCATAGATGTGGCTGTGCGCCCCATAGGTGGAGTTGGTTTCCACAGAGAGGACTTTGGGCGCCCCATAGATCGGCACTGGGTGCCCCATAGTGGGCTGGTTGCCCCATAGATGGTCTGTGTGCCCCATAGATGGGCTGTTTGCCCCACAGCTTGGTTGGTTGCCCCATAACTGGGCTGGTTGCACCATAGATGGATTGGTTGCCCCACAGCTGGGCTGGTTGCCCCATAGCTGGTTTGGTTGCCCCATAGATGGTCTCTGTGCCCCATAAATGGATTGGTTACCCCATTGATGGATTGGTTGCCCCATAGATGGTTGGTTGCCCCATTGATGGATTGGGTGCCCCATAGCTGGGTTGCTTGCCCCATAGCTGGGTTGCTTGCCCCATAGATGAATTGGTTGTCCCACAGCTGGGTTGGTAGCCCCATAGATGGGTTGGGTGCCCCATAGATGGGTTGGGTGCCCCATAAATGGTCTCTGTGCCCCATAGATGGGTTAGTTGCCCGATAGCTGCGTTGGTTGCCCCATAGATGAATTGGGGCACAGATCCCCATAGATGGGCTGTGTGCCCCATAGATGGGTTGGTTGCCCCATATATCAGCACTGGGTGCCCCATAGCTGGGTTGGGTGCCCCATAGCTGGGCTGGTTGCCCCATAGCTGGGATGGTTGCCCCATAGCTGGGCTGGTTGCCCCATAGATGGGCTGGTTGCCCCATAGCTGGGCTAGTTGCCCCATAGATGGGTTGGGTGCCCCATAAATGGTCTCTGTGCCCCATAGCTGCGTTGGTTGCCCCAGAGATGAATTGGGGCACAGATCCCCACAGCTGGGCTGGTTGCCCCATAGATGGATTGGTTGCCCCACAGATGGGTTGGTTGCCCCATAGCTGGGTTGTTTGCCCCACAGCTGGGCTGGTAGCCCCATAAATGGATTGGTTGCCCCATAGATGGTTGGTTGCCCCATTGATGGATTGGGTGCCCCATAGCTGGGCTGGTTGCCCCATAGCTGGGCTAGTTGCCCATAGGTGGGTTGATAGCCCCATAGATGGGTTGGGTGCCCCATAGATGGTCTCTGTGCCCCATAGATGAGTTGGTTGCCCCATAGCTGTGTTGGTTGCCCCACAGCTGGGCTGGTAGCCCCACAGCTGGGCTGGTAGCCCCATCTCCATCCGTGCCCCCGTTTCCCGCAGAGCTGCAGCAGCTGCGCTCGGCGCTGCCGGGAGCCGCGGTGCTGCAGCGCCTGCCGCAGTCCGGCGCCGTTTTGGTGCTGCCGCCGGCGGCGCCGCGCGACCTCCTGGAGCTCTACTTCGAGAACCGCCGCAGCGCCGGCGGCAAAGTGGGCGCCGTGAGGCTGCGCCGCGATGGGGCCGCCGTCGTCACCTTCCGAGACCCACAGGGTGAGCAGCCAATGGCACGAGGGCGGCCGCCGCCATCGGGGGTCCCAGGTTGGGGGTCCCAGGTTGGGGTCCCGCTTTGGGGGTCCTGGTGTCATTGTCCCAAATTTGGGGGGGATCCCAGTTTGGAAGTCCCGCTTTGGTGGTCCCACTTTGGGGGTCCCAGTTTTTGGGGGTCCTGGTGTCATTGTCCCAAATTTGAGGGTCCCAGTTTGGGGGTCCCAGTTTCACCTCCATGGTTTTGGGGGTCCCAGTGCCACCACTGGGGATTGGGGGTCCTGCTTTGGGGGTCCCATTCTGGGGGTCCTGTTGTCATTATCCCAAATTTGGGGGTTCCACTTTGGGGGTCCCACTCTGGGGGTCCTGTTGTCATTGTCCCAAATTTGAGGGTCCCAGTTGGGGGGTCCCGCTTTGGGGGTCCCAGTTTGAGGGTCCTGGTGTCATTGTCCCAAATTTGGGGGTCCCACTCTGGGGGTCCCAGTTTGAGGGTCTGACTCTGGGGGTCCCAGTTTGGGGATCCCAGTTTGGGAGTCCTGGTGTCATTGTCCCAGATTTTGGGGTCTCACTTTGGGGGTCCCACTTTAAGGGTCCAACTCTGGGGGTCCTGCTCTGGGGATCCCAGTTTGGGGGTCTGAATCTGGGGGTCCCATTTTGGGGGTCCCAGTTTCGGGGTCCCAGTTTGAGAGTCCCACTTTGGGGGTCCCACTTTGGGGGTGCCAGTCTGGGGATCCCCGTTTGGGAGTCCTGGTGTCATTTTCCCAATTTGGGGGTCCTGCTTTGGGGATCCCACTTTGGGGTCCCACTCTGGGGGTCCCACTCCGAGGGTCCCGCTTTTGGGGTCCTGGTGTCATTGTCCGAAATTTGGGGGTCCCACTCTGGGGGTCCCAGTTTGGGAGTCTTGGTGTCATTGTCCCAAATTTGGGGGTCCCAGTTGGGGGGTCCCGCTTTGGGGGTCCCAGTTTGGGGGTCCTGGTGTCATTGTCCCAAGTTTGGGGGACCCAATTTGGGGGTCTGACTCAGGGGGTCCCAGTTTGGAGGTCCCAGTTTGGGGGTCCCAGTTTGGGGGTCCTGGTGTCATTGTCCCAAGTTTGGGGGACCCAATTTGGGGGTCTGACTCAGGGGGTCCCAGTTTGGGGGTCCCACTTTGGGGGTCCCAGTTTTTGGGGGTCCTGGTGTCATTGTCCCAAATTTGAGGGTCCCAGTTTGGGGGTCCCAGTTTCACCTCCGTGGTTTTGGGGGTCCCAGTGCCACCACCGGGGATTGGGGGTCCTGCTTTGGGGGTCCCATTCTGGGGGTCCTGTTGTCATTGTCCCAAATTTGAGGGTCCCAGTTTGGGGGTCCCGGTATCACCGATGTGGTTTGAGGGTCCCAGTGTCAGGGTCCTATTTTGGGGGTCCCAGTGCCACCAGTGTGGGTTGTGGCGTCCCACTGTCAGCACCACGGGTTGGGGGTCCTGATGTCGGTGTCCCAATCCTCGGGGTCCCGATGTCCCCGCCCCACTTTGGGGGTCCTGGTGCCACCAATGTGATTTGGGGGTCCCGGTGTCACCTCCGTGGTTTGGGGGTCCCAGCGTCAGCACCGCGGTGTCCCGGCGTCCTGCCCCATTTTGGGGCGTCCCGGCGTCAGCGCTGCAAATTTGGGGGTGCCGGTGTCCCCGCCCCACTTTGGGGGTCCCGGTGCCGCCCCATCAATTTGGGGGGGGCCCTGGGGGGGCTCCCAGCCGCACACAGCGCCGGTTCAGCGGGTGCCTCCATGCAGTGGTGCCGCGGGTGCTGCGCCGGACGCATCGGCTGCAGGACGTGGAGCTGCGTGTGGTGCCGTACTACCAGGCCCTGGAGATGGATGGCGCCGATCCGGCACCGGGCGATGGCACAGATCCGGCACTGGGCGATGGCACAGATCCGGCACCGGGCGATGGCACAGATCCGGCACCAGGTGGTGTAGATCCGTGGGATCTGGCAGCCACCAACACCTCGCAGCTGAGTGCGGAGCTGCCGGCTGCGGACTCTCCGGTGATGCCACCGTGGACGACCCTGGACCCCACGGTGACACCAAAAGGGACAAACCGAGACCCCGTGGTGGTGACACCAGGAGGGACCCTGAACCGCCCGGTGACACCAGGGAGGACCACCGAGGACCCCATGGTGACACCAGGGAGGACCCAGAACCCCACGGTGACACCAGGGAGCACCCGTAACCTCATGGCGACACCAAAGACGACAACCCGCGTCCCTCCGGCGACACCAAAGACGCCCCCCCAAGACCCCACGCCGACACCAGGTGTGACCACCCTGGACCCCAGCGCGGCGTCACCGTCACCATCGCCGGCCCAGGAGCGCGTGGTGCTGCCGGAAGCGACGCTGCAATTCCTGCGCCGCGCCGACGTCCGCGCTCAGCTGTCCGGCACCGCGCCGTACGCCGTGGTCGGCACCGCGGTGCTGCTGACGGCCCCCAGCCCCGCGGACGCCCGCCGTGCCGCGCGGCGCCTGCAGGACGCGCTGGGTGCCTTCGCCGTGGCGGTGCCGCCGCGGTGCCGCGTGCCGGGGCCGGGATCGCCGTGCTGGCGGCGGCTGCGGTGCTGCGCGGTGCGGCGGAGCGCGGACGGGCGCTGGGTGCAGGGCCTGACCCTGCGCGGCATGGAGGAGGAGAACCGGCGCCGCGTGTGGGACGCCGTGCGGGGGGATGGCAGCATGGATCCCGGCGGGGTGGATCCCGGTGGCGTAGATCCTGGCGGGGTGGATCCCAGCGGTGTGGATCCCGGTGGTGAGCGGCAGCGCGGCGGGGATGGCGGCGGGGATCCCACGGTGGGTGCAGGTGAGCCGCACGGAGGGGGGAGCCCAGCCTGGATCCCAAAGTGGATCCCAATGTAGGTCTTGATCCCAAGGTGGATCCCCACGCGGATCCCAGTGTGGATCTCGATGTGGATCCCGGTGTAGATCCCAACACAGATCCCAATGCGGATCCCAACACGGATTTCAATGTGGATACCTATGTGGATCCCAGTATAGATCCCAATGTGGATCCCTATATAGGTCTCGATGTGGATCCCCACGTGGTGCCCACTATAGATCCCAACATAGATCCCAGTGTGGATCCCAATACGAATCCCAGTGTGGATCCCAATATAGATCTCAATATGGATCTCAATGTGGATCCTTACATGGATCCCGACACAGATCCCAATATGGATCCCAGGGTGGATCCCCATATAGATCTCAATGTGGATCCCAACATGGATCCCAATATGGATCTCGGTGTGGATGCCCACATGGTGCCCAGTATAGATCCCAACACAGATCCCAATATGGATCCCACTGTGGATCCTTACATAGATCCCAGTGTAAATCCCAACACAGATCCCAATGTGGATCCTAGCAGATCCCAACACAGATCCCAATATGGATCCCACTGTGGATCCTTACATAGATCCCAGTGTAAATCCCAACACAGATCCCAATGTGGATCCCAACACAGACCCCAGTGTGGATCCTAAGATCCCAGCACAGATCCCAATATGGATCCCAGCACGGATCCCAGTGTGAGTCCTGGTGCACTGCCCAGCATGGATCCCAGCATGGATCCCAATGTGCTGAGCAGAGCGGATCCCCATCAGGTGCCCCATGTGGTGACCAACCCGGATCCCAACATGGATCCCACCGCAGATCCCGCTGTGGATCCCAGGGATTTCCCAGCCTGGATTCCCCCATTGGGATCCACAGCGTGCCAGTCTCCCGGTGTCGCCCGGTTCTGACTGGACCCCGCCGTCGATCCCAACACAGATCCCGCTGTGCGGCCCAGCAGAGGACGCAGGGTGGATCCCGACGGAGATCCCAACTCGTGGCTCAACCTGGAACCCGACGGAGAGCCCGATTCACAGCCCGTCCTGGATCCCAGCGTGGATCCCAACGGAGATCCCAGTTCTTGGCCCATCATGGAACCCAGCGGAGATCCCAACGGAGATCCCAACTCATGGCCCATCATGGAACCCAGCGTGGATCCCAATGGAGATCCCAATTCACGGCCCATCATGGAACCCATCCTGGATCCCAACAGAGATCCCAATTCACGGCCCAA